GGGCCACTCGTCTTCTAGTTTTTTACCTTGGAGAGACAGCGCAAATCATAAAAGAGGGGTACAAGTACGTTCTGTGCTGATACATACTTCTCATTCCCCCCAAACTTCGACATTCTGAAGGACCGTGGCGTTTTTCCTGGATTTGCAGAGGCTGCGATCTCCGACGGCAAAGTGGTATTCACGAGCCTGGACAGCATGCCTCTGTTCAGAGCCCTGCTTGGCCGCGGAACGGCATATCCCATCATGGCTAGGCTACCGTCACCTGACATCCGAGGAACTTATGTGGCTACACGGATAAAAGCAAAAGGCACCGAATGTCACCGCAGACCTTGTTCCGCGGGTGCCTTCGCATGCATTGGACGATCTGTCTAAGGCAGGCCTTGGCCTCCCTGGTGTCGCGTGATGATCCGAAGGTACTCCATGATGAAGCCCATCACTGCCACAGCCTTCATGAGTCTGGTGGACGATGGCACACTGGGGCTTCATGACCCTGTGCACCGGTACATCCCCAGCTTCAAGGATCTTCAAGTGCCCGGTCTGACTTCTGAACTGAGACTCGAGAGCGCGACAGAGGCAGGGGAGAGAGAGAGAGATGTGTGTGTGTGTGTATGTAACGTATGTATGTATGTATGTATGTATGTATGTATGCATGTCTGTACGTATGTCTGTATTTATACGCACATATATATATATATACAGTCAGTATATCATCTTCATACATCTACATATGCATATATGTTCTTTTGTTCACTTAGTTAAGATCGTATTTATAAACCATAAGTCTTTGCATATACAGCCAACTTATACATCTATACAGGTGTGTATATATATATATATATGTATACATATATATACACACACATACATATACATGCATACATATTTATATACATAAATAATCATAAATATCTGTGTGTGTCTGCGTGTGTATGTGCGTATATGTCGTATTGTGTGTATGTGTGTACATATGTGCATATACATACACATACATGTATGTCCTGGAGCGAGAGGGACGGAGGAAGAGGCAGAGAGAGTGTAGGTGCGTGTGTGCCCGCGTCAGGATATCGACTGCCAAAAAAATTTTTGAGATATGAAGAATCGTTTGGACCCCTACCTCGTACATGAGAGGCTCAAGACCTTTGGTAACATCTGGAGGCCCCGGGCTCGAACCAAACCTCACGGACGAACGTGACGCGCGCGCGCATTGTTCTACAAGCTGGGCAAGTCAACACATGACCGCAACCTGTAGCAGGAAAGAATCCTTCTGGAAAGCGCCCTGTCAAGTTTCCGGTCCTCGCTTTGACACTTTTGTGTTGGCGTGAGGTCCGCAGGAAGAATGGCAAAGGCCTTGAGGCCCTGAAGAAGCCCATGACCCTGTGTCACCTGCTGATGCACACTTCTGGACTTGGCTACGGCCCTGGATCGATAACACCGGGTGTTCCTTTGGTCGCGAGATCGGCAGAGGAAAAGCACTACAAGAGCCTGACAGTGAGGCAGGAAGAGGGTGGCTTGGCCGTATTCATGTGGGTCAGATCCGAAAGCCATGGGCAGTGTGGTAAGTTCTTGACCTGCGCACAGAGTTCTCTACAAGGTGACATCAACACCCTCGAAAAGCTTTGCGTGGAGTTGGCACGCAGCCCAGCACAACTAGATAGCCCAAGGTAGACGGAGCAGGATGTGTTTCAATGAGCCGTTTGCGCAAGCCAGCACGCAGCCCCTCGAAGTAATTACCGCACCGAAAAGAGCAGAATCGGCACTAACGGCGAGAAGAGCTTTGGAGCCCTTAAGGGCCAGGCCTGCCCAGGCATTTTCAGACAAAGCCCGGCAGAAAAGCCGCGCAAAGCAGCCGACACTGAAGTTTCATGGCTCTGAGCCGCAGGAGCCGTGCCTGTCCAGGTCTACCATTGCTGCATCAGCCAGGAAGCAACTATGCGTATGGGATGAGCCTCGATGTCCTCGGACATGCAGCTTGGCTTCGGAAACTTATCCTTTTTAGTTCAGCCACTGCCCTGAAATCGAAAGCCCGGAGTTCTCCGGCATGGAAAAGGTCATGGAGATTGCGACGGGGAAGCCGCTTCGAAAGATCATCCAAACTCGTGCATCTTGGAAGAATGCATGTTCCAAGCCAGTGCTGCCGATTTCAGCGGGACGGTGTCTGTTCAATCCAAGTCCTAGTTAACCCCTCTGTTGATTCTCAAAGATCTTCATGCTGACGGTGTGCACTCTGATGAGGTTTTGGATCGGGTTGGTATGCGAGATACCAGCTTCATGGTGCAGCGCTCCAGAACTGCGCACCTAGCCGGATACTACCGCCTGATGAAGGACAAGGCAGGTCCATCGCCTGGCAAAGCCCATTCTCTCAAAGGAACACAAGTAGAAAGACAAAGCTAGTGAGGAAACCCTCGCAATGCAGCCGATGCCCAGCAGCAGTTCACCAACATCTCTACACGAGGGGTCTTGCGATCATGGAACCTTGAGCGGGCAGAGCTGACATGGTTTGCAGCTCGAAGCGCTCCACAGCATGTTTCTCCTATGTGTTCTGTGGTGGTCAGGGTGTATCCAAGCGTTGGCTGCAGCGACTGGACGGTTCCAGAGCAGAAGACAGCATGAAGCCTGGCTGCAGTGCTACGACTTGCATGCGCGGGGAGAACCCGAGCTATCAACCTAATCAGTTGAAGGTATGTGAAAGGCTCAGCAGCCGCCTACGCTGGCGGCGTGCCAGCAGCCGGCGGTCTCTGGGGTGCCTCGTTTGTATATGGGGGTTTCCGAAAATAGGGGAACCTGATATAGTACCCTAAATAATAGGTTCCTTATTATAAGGACCCCAAAATAAGGTACCCTAATTTTCGGAAACTCCCATATGATCCAACAACTTCGACGACCAGGCGGCCTACTTTGCATTCACCCTTCGGCTCGCCTCCAGGGGCCCAGAAGTTGTAGGATTGTGACAGGAGGGGGTTTCCCAAAATAGGGACCCTAATATAGTATCCTAAATAATAGGATCCCTATTATAAGGACCCCAAAATAAGGTACCCTAGTTTTCTGAAACTCCCAGGAGGATCGGAAAGGGCTGTTCGAAGCAGTTGGAACGAGGAAAGCTCCCTAAAGCCCTGAGCCCCAAGATGCCAAGCACTGCACCGCACAAAGCTTCTCAAGGCGCCGGTCGCTCCACAATGCTCTTCTCGCTGCGGGACGTGCTGCTGTTTTGTCAGATGCTGCTGAACAGAGCTCTGGCATGTAAGGGCAGCTCTACGCTGTAGTCACTGTAGTCTTTGCTGCTACCAACTTCAAGGAAACCAAGAAGCAGAACTACTATCTGATCGGCTTTTGGACAGAGAGCCGGCAATGTTACTTCGACAAAGACATTCGAACCAGGTGTTAAAAGGCTGACAAAAACTGTGGGAGTCGAGGATCTACAGCCCACCGAAGCCGACGCTGAACCAACGATCCTGAACACGAACTGGATGTCCCCAAAGGCGCACTCTGTTTCTCACAGCTTCAGGCCTCACATATTGAATCATCTGTGCAGGGTGTCCATCTTCTGTACTTCTGAACCTACGTGTCGCATTCTACCTTCACCACCCATACGCCAACTCACAACGGTTGTCCATTTCCTGCTGAAGTTGAATGCAAGTCGGGAGAACTCGTTTGACTAAGACCGACAGCCTAAAACCCACACAAGGGGGACGATCGGTGTCCGGAAAGCGGGTCTTGCCGCTGGGCTGCGTTGGTGACTTCCCATCAAGTTCAGGCGATGGGGTGTTGGGAGGTTGAGGACTTCACACTCCCCAAAGTGGCCAAACAGTCCGACTTGAGCAGTGGTTAGTAGTTGATGAGCCGACCGGTTTCCTGCTGGTGTCTCCTGGTCTGCTGATTTACCTGTCCATCCATTTCAAGATGTCAGTGGGTTGTTCCCGACCATTTGGACAGTCACGAGGAAGACAGAGACGGTGCGCTCGCTTGTTGGCGACTGGCTGCGGCTGAAGCGTGCCTCTGACAAGCCCGACCCGGAGGGCTGGGGAAGCGACGACGTGTCTAAGCTTGAACCTAAGCCCTGAATCCTAAGTAGTTGAGGCCGTCTTTGAGCCTTTGAGTTGCATACTGTAGTAACCTTTCTTTCAGCGTCAGAAGACCTTTGGCATGACTGGCTCAGTCGTTGACTGGATCTCGCAGGTGGGATGGTCCCCCTTGGGCAACATCGAAAGATACGGACCGCATGCCGGGGCTCTCTATATGGGAGGCACATGCCAAGAAGCATGTCATGACCGGCATTCTCACGGAATCCATGCGCTTGTCCAGGCATGAGCTACTTTTGGCTGGATCCGCGTCGCAACATCGCCGCGGCGATCATGACAGAGACCTACTGGCAGGTTGATCCACTGGGCTGGAAATCTGAGCTGGACGACCTCGACCAGGCCTGCAGTTCTTTATGGTGTCGGGGCAGTAGGAATCGGCATTCTGACTGAATTCGGACGTAGGCTGGAGTGATGTGTCTGTGATTTAGGTTGCAGAGATTCAGGCTTAGACAGCTGATGCCTCTAGCACCTCTTCAGGCTCTAGATCTGTAGAGCTTGAAGATATCAGCATGGGTAATATCTTAACTAGCGGCACCTTATGTTGGGGTCCTCATATCAAGAATCCGAGCATTGCCTTTCTGTAATCAGGGTCCCCTAGTTCACACTTCCACTCCACACAGACTTTGGCAGCTTGGCTGTCTCTCCGGGCAGGTTGCCTTGTGGCTCCGACTTGTAATTTAGGGGTTTACTAGCCCGGGGGTTCCTTATTATGGTTAATTATAGTTTTTGTGTCTGACGAGGATTGCAGGATCGATGTGGAACCTGCCTTGCTAAGCCTCTGAATTGCTACAATACTTCTGGTGACTTGGCTACGGGCTAGGGTTTTCACGGTGCTAGGCAGGGACGGTTCTCAAGCCTACCATTACTGTCCGGGAAGTCCTACGAGGTCTTTACTTTACAGATATGAATTCTTTGTGGAGTACGTGGACCTACTTGTAGGCAGTCTTGCCAGATGACCCATAGACGATTGTCGCCGGCCTGAACGATAGTCTGTTGCTTAGGCTCTTTGTTTCTTGCATCTCTGCGTTGGCAGAGCCGCAAGCCCTAACCCCGGAGATTGTCTGTTGAGTACGAAGACTGTGCACATCGAGTATTGGTTGTCAGATTGAATCCGTTTGAAGTGCAGCTGTTCGCGGTGCTGGTGCCCGGCATTCTTCCTTCTATGCATCCCCTGGCGTGACTAGCGAGACCGAAGGAGTGAGACCTCAAAGAGCAAATTATGAAGCCCTTTATCATGAAGCATAAGTGTTGTGGGACTTCAGTGCTTCTGCTCGGCAGTCTTCCATTGGATACTTGTGATCACTGCACGGAGCCTTCAAACCAATCTCCATTGTTAGTTGCTCATCATGTCATGTCTTTCGTCCTTTGACGCACCATCATGCAGGCGCATGTCAGGCGATTGTGAGGTCAAATTTACGCACATCCATTTCGGGCGATCTTCGGGATCTGGAACTACCTATTTGTGCTTAGCAGGGCTGTTTCTGAAGTGGTCTCCATTGACTTTGATTGGACTTCCTTTTTCAAGCCCGCTGCCATATTTCAGAAGTCTAGAAAGAAAGACTGTCCGGCAAGGTCATCCAAAAAGCTGTGCTGACGGCAAAGCGAAAGCGGCAATCGGCGCATTCTGCCTCCACAGAAGCAGCAAAGAGACAGCGCCGATAATCTTGCGACGCTGATGGGGCAGCGCCGAAAACGTGATTCCGTGAAGTTGTGGAAGGCAATATCGGAATGGGCTGTCCCGTAACCTGTGGATGGTAAGAAGGAACGATATATATCTGATTTCTTTTGAATTTTATTATCTTTCAAATTATATTCTCTATATATTTATATTCGTATCATATAGATCCTTATAGATTCTTCTAGGATGAGGGAGGAAAACCTAAAATATATATCGTATCTCATGAAATTTCTTAAAAAAATGAGAGGGAAATTTCATTGAATCCAGATGAAGGTAGGATATTTATAAAGAAGACGGAATATATTTTTGAATTAATAAAAAATTAAATCGAATCTAAATCGAAATTAAAATTATGATTATCTATAATTATTTATTTTCATAATTGAATCATTTAATCGATTTTGATTATTAAAAGAATTATATTGAAAGATAAATATTTTTTTCATGTAATCATATTATGATCATCTCATATTCTATATATTATATTTGATATATATTTATATAATCATTATTATATATATGATAATCAAATATTTTATTGAATGATACTTAAATCTAGATCTTATATCATATATATATACCGCTTCTTTTTCAAGAATATCAAGGGATATGATATATTTCGAAATCATGAATTTCTCTTGCTCGTATCGATATATAGGCTTCTTCTTTTATTTTCTATTATAATAGATAATTCTAGAGGATCATAATATGAAGGGCATATTATGCGATTCGTGAAAATTTCATGATATGGCATATGAATTTTAGATATCTCATCTTTAGAAAATATTAATATAAATATTTATCTATAAATAGATTATTATCTATTTTAATCGATCCTCTTTTCTCGAGAATAGATTTTCATTTCTTGGTTTAAAAAAAATATTTTTCGGAATGCACGACATATCTTTGTTTTTTTATTAATTTCGATATTAGAATCTCTATAAATTTATTTTATTTCGTAGTCTCCTTTCGGTATTTTCAAATTCTTCTATCTATATATTTTCATTTTTTTATAGAATCATTATCTCCGATTTACCCTGGTCTAATCCTATATTCCCGGAATAATTTATCTTATTCCTCTATTTCTTCTTTTTTCCCCTAGCCCGCCATCTGAAATCTCATAGAATTTCTTACCCTCCATCCTCACCCGTCATACACTCCTTAAGACTTCCCATAATTATATATCCGCCACGATATTCACGCCTTCGCCCGCCACTCCGAGACATACACCTTCCCTCGCAAATCCACCATCACCCAGACTCCCATAACATACCGCTCCTTGCAGGTCACTTCACATTCCTCCTTCGCCGGCAACTGATTTCTAAATAATCTATATAATAATATGATAAATATTATAAATTAATTTCATTCTATATTATACTAAAATAAATGTATATATAATATTCATATATATCATAACTAATTGAAATATTTACTATTTTTAGAATCTATAAAAAATATTTGCTAAATTCTATATCAAAAAATAATGATATCTAGATATATAAAATTATAATCATATATTAATCAATATTGATATAATGATAGAAAATGAATATCATATAAAAGAATTATATAAAATCGAAAGCTTAATCAAAATTCAGAAATAAATATTAAATAAATAAATAATATTTTTTTAAGAAATTATTTCTGAAATTATTTCTGAAAAGATTTTATTGAAAATAATTTGAGGCGGCACGATAGCACCGCCGCCGCCATAAAATAAATTTCTATTCGAATTTATTGATTTCTTTTTTCTTATTTATTATATTCATACCTCATTCCTTATATTCCTGAAATTTCAAGATTTCATTATTTATAATATTATATCTATATAGAATCTTTTATATCCTCGAATTTAGATCTTAGATGATTGGGATAATAGGATAGAACTTGAAATTAGATAAAAATTGATTTGAAAATTTTTTGGATAAAAAAAGACCTAGATTTTTTTTTAATTTTTAGTTTCTTAATTCGATTAATTCCTAAATCCTTCAAGATAAAATAAATATAAAGATCCCTAGATCTTCAAAATTTGAATTCTAGAGATTTTGATCAGATATCTAGAAATTCTCAAAAAGCTTCAAAGAGATTTTTAGATCGATATCCCTAGCCCTTCAAAATTTCACTTCTGATTGCAAGATGATGGTGCAATGCCATATCGATACGAATACTGGCACTCTCATCCGGGAAGCCAAGAATGAGCATGAGCTGAAGCCTGACATGCGTGCAGATATCAGGACGACAGCAGCGCAAGTCGAGAATGCTGCAGCTGCACTTGTACAATTTTCCATGGCCAAGCCGGACAAAGACTTGCCTCGGCACGATCAAGTGCAGACACATCAAAGCTACATCAACCCCAAGCAGATGGAGGACAAGGTCCCGCAGGTTCTAGAATTTGCAGAGATATTGAAAAATAAAGAAGGACGCAATAATTGGGAATACCATATTCTCGACATGGGTAAAGATACTGGTATCGTATGTTTACCAACGATTTTTATATTGGGCGACTCCTTGCAAATTGGGACGGCTTGAAGGAGCATAGACTACGTCTTGCATGCGACGGAACGCATTCCATAAGTAATAGCGAGATCAAAATAATCGTATTGGGATGACTTGCACAGCACGTGCCGTGCAAGACCATTAAGAACACTTTTGTCCTGCTAGCATTTGCGTTGTCATTGTCGCCAACTGAGTGTTGTATTGTCGTCAACTGAGAGTGGTCCTGCGGTGCACAAATTGTTGCGGAGCATAGACACGATGATGTTGCACTATGTGCGCGAGTGTCTGCATGCTCCTATTTTGGCGCATATGGACGGTGCCCTGGGGCTCATTCGAGATTTCGAAGTTTTCTTCGGGCCTGACTTCTTTTTGATCAGAAGCCTTGAGCACGTGAAACACAATATCAGAGACCAAGGAGCAAAAAAAATTTTTCAAAGCAGCTTTTGGAGAAGTGCCAAGCGGTGGGAGACCGCAAGCTCCTTCTACCACAACGATGCTGTGTTTCATACCTTCTGGCTAGGTTGTTTCGAAGTGCTGGAGAAAGCTGGGGAAAGGTCATTCGCCGAGTACTTGTAACACGAGCACTTCCGGAAGCTCGAAATTATATGGACAGCGCCGTGGCGTAGAGCTCTATCTATCTATCTATCTATTTATTAATATGTCTTTTCTATTTATCTGCCTACTTATTTATGAGAGCAGATAAAGAAAGAAATAAGATTGCTAAGGGATAGAGATCCAGACTCAGAGATAAAGATGGAGATAGAGAAATAGATATCTAACTAGGGATAATGATATAAATAAATAAGCAAATAATGATATAGAAGATAGGTAGAGAGAAATAAATCTAAGAGAGATAAAGACTCAGATAGATAAATAGGAAAATATTATAGATAATTTGGCAAATAAGAATATGAATAGAAGGAGATATAGATAGATAAAGACGAGGATAGGTGCGGAGATTCAGATTTGGGAATCTATGAAAACATGGGAAGAATAGAGAATTAAATAGGAAGATAAAGAGGAGGATAGATAGAGATATTTAGATTTAGGGAGGCCATAAAGAGTGGGGAGGAATAGAGACCTAGATAAATAAGTAGAGAAGAGGATAGGCAGGGAGATTTAGATTTATACGACCATAAAAAAAAAAATAAAGAAGATAAATAGGGAGATTTAGATTTAGGAGGCCATAAAGAATAAGAACAAGCAGGCGAATTTCAGATAAGCATATAGAGAGGAGGATAACAAAAGAGATTTAGATTTATGAGGCCATAGAAAACAAGATCAAAAAGGGAGAGCAAAATAATAGAGATCCAGATAGGAAGATAAAGAAAATCATAAATAAAAAGATTTCGACTTAGGAAGTTATAAAGAAAGAAGAAAGAATAGAGATCTAGATAAATAATTAGAGAAAAATATAAATAAAGAAATTTAGATTTAAGGAGATATAAAGAAGTAAAGAGAAGAGAATTATATAAATAAAGAAGAAGATAAGAAGGCAAATTCAGACCCAGAGAGATATAAATAGGCAACAAAAGAAATAGATAGCTAAGCAAATAAAAAAAGCTCTGAAATAAAGAAATATATAAGAAAATAAAAAATAAAGAGAAATAAAATGTAAAAGAGAAATAAATAGAATAGTAAATCAAAAAAATAAATAGAAGAATATCTATCTATTTCTATCGCTTTTATTTTCTGCTTATAAAGAAAATATAAATGATTCTATTACTATTCTTAAAGAAAATACTTTCAAAAAAATAATTTCGAAATAATTTCCGAAATTTTTTTTCCTAGAAATTTCGAAAATAAAATCTTCTAAATTAAGAGTGAAATTATATTTGTAAAGAAAATATTCTTTTATTTCTTATAGATCATAAATTCATATCTTAATATTAGAATTAATATATATTTAATTTATTAATAGAATAATTAAAAAAATTCAAATTAGAATTTATATTATAATCAATTTATAATGAATTTATCGAAATTATTTCACCGAATTTAAATTCAAAATAAAAAATAGATTGAGAGAAATAATAGATAATACTTTTATTTTGAATTATTAAATACTTATATCATCTCAAAAACTTCAAAAATTAGTAATTCAATTTATTATTTCGGTTTATATTTAATTTTGATATTGTACGAATTTTATTTAATACAGCCTTTTCTACTTTTAATATAAATCAATATAATATTCCTATTGTATGTAACCATCCTAAATCTTAAATTTAGTAATCTAATTTATTTATTTACATATTATTATCCGGTATATGTATGTCTATGTATTTTTATTAGTTTCGTTATTTTCTATTTGTATTTAGATAGATCTTACCTATATTGTAATTTTCGAGAAACCACGTCTCGGGAGAGGCTGCTTTTGAAAAGGATTACACTACCCACCAATCCCATTTTTCATCGTGTGCCACAACTGTCACCATAATATCAATGACACTATACATAATTCAGCGACGGAAGCGACTCCGAAGCTGTAGCTTTGGTTTGGCTGCACTTCGCTGTGCCTCATGCCTCAGGGAGTGTTTCTTATGTGGGCCAAGCAAGTGCAAGCAGGCAGCTGTCGGCCTTCTATACACTTGCAGACGGCTTGTTATGGAAACAGCAAGCCCCGAAAAAGCGGCGCATCAATTCAGAATGCACCACGCCTAACTGTTCACTCAGATTCTGAGCTCGCCTCAGATTCTGAGTTCGCATGTACAACGTTCTCATGTTTAAAGTATTCATCGATATGGTGGATTGTCAACGATCGGAACTCATTATCGTCGTCCACGTGCCAATAGAAGCATTGGTCCACGAAGATGTCCAAGTCAGCAAAAGTTTCCGGAGGTTCTTGCCAATCGAAGCCATCATACACGACCGTCACTGCGAACCATAGAATGTGCCTGTCAATAGCCTCGTCGTCATCTAGCAGGGCGACACCCCACTTCTTCATCGCGTCAAGGTCACTGTAGACACGGCTGGCCAAAGCACTGGCGAGAGTAAACTTCGGAATTAAGAAGTCCTTCTGAAACACTAGCTCCAGCTCGGGACTTTGCTTTCGTAGGACTGCAAGATCGCAGCAGTCATTCACCATCTTGGCCGTTAAGTCCATTGCTGGCTGGGAGAGGGAACGAACTGCAAGCCTCGAGACGTAACTCTACAGTATACATTCTGTCAGTCAGGCTTTGAACTTGTCACGTGCCTTGCGCAAGAATCTGGCAGATGCAGCCTCAAAACTGTCGCACCGTCCCTTGTGAGGCGGTCCTTCTGATGTAGTCGTGATTGTGACGGCCATTGCGGTTCACAGAAGCGCATCAATCAGGGAAGCTTTGAGGCGCAACTCTTAATCCAAACCCGTCTCCAAATTAGGGCTCTAGAGGTTCAGGGTGCCTATGTCAGTAGTTGAAAGTCGTCCTGTTGCGGGTAACCAGTAATCGCCGTTTTGGAGTTTGCTTGTATTATCCCTCTTCTTATATTATTTGTCAGAATGAATAGACCCCCTTCCATTTAATTCTCCATCAGGGCGATTTTGTTATCATTACTTCTATGTTTTAGTTGGTAATTATTACTGTATTTATTCTGTGCTTCTGAATCCGCCAACACGCGTAGTTCACGTCCGCTCGATTAACGGGTCAAAAGATTGTGACTGGCACGGATAGGAACAGACTACTCAACTCCTTACTCAAAGCCTCAACCGTATAGTACTTTGGCGCCCCAAGCCCTTACAGAACCCCTATAGTATCCTGAGAAGAGATCCCCTTCAAAAGAGAGAAGGCGCTTTTTGCACCTGGATTTGGCAGCTGCTTTCATCCGCGGAGCCGCATCTTCGGGGCCCACAGATTCGGGTCATTACATTAAGCGTGGGGTTGATAAGTAAAATGGTTCTCTATAGGAGTTCCACATATGACATGATACCGGGGCCTTAATAATTAGAATAGGGCTCCTTTAGGGGCTTCTGTAAAGGGTTGCTATAAGATGCTATAAGGAAACTGCATATGATGTATATTATAGGGGACTGAATCATTGGAATAAGGCTTTGGGTAGTATGTGAAAGCGTAGTTATAGGGACTACAAGGGGATCCTATTATCAAGCACAGCCTGGCCCTGTCTGCTTCTGACCAATGTCATGTAGATAAGAATTATACAATCGCATCGCTGTAGCACCTGAATAATTTGGCAACTAGTCTACGTGTTGATGGTTTAGCAGGGTCTGTCGTGCCTTCCCCACCTGCTCTCACCGGGTGAAACTGTCAGAGTGCACCTGGATCCTGACAGCTTCAAGCAGATTTGGGGGTTTCAGAAAATAGGGGACCCTAATATAGCACTCTGAATAGTAGGATCCTTATTATGAGGACCCCAAAAGAAGGTACCCCTAATTTTCGGAACCTCCCATATGTAAGGAGCAGTCATTGCATGGAGACCGGGCTGCAAGCATGCAGAGTGGCTCGTGGCTATGGAATTGCTGGCGCCAAGACATCAGGTCCACAGGTTCAGGGTCATGGGCACGTTGGGTGTCGATTTCTTCTTGCTTCGCGGTGAGGCACTTCCCATCAGCATGGAGCCCTTTTATGGTCACCTTCGGAACTGACATCGCTGCGCAAGATTGACCCCATGCTACAGAACATGCTCTAAGACAGCAGGCCTGCCCCTTCTGGCGCTCCAAGAGGCACACAAACAACAACCATAAGGTTGGGATGTCCCAAACCCTCATCCAGTAAACTAGGGATGTCGCAAGACAAAGTTTCGGCGAATTTTAGGTTTTTGACCTTCTTCTACATTGCATCTGTCTGGGGGTTCAGGCCGTGTTGCCGCGGCCGCCAGGGTCGACATGTCCTCGTGTACTTGTGCGGCAGAACTGTAGAAGCGATGAGATTTCACCCAAATCAAAATAACGTGGGTCCTTCTGCGGGTGGAGGGACCGCTTCCTCTTGCCCACTTGGCCTGAGGAGCTGCATTCAAGCTGCAACTGCCAC